CGCCTTGTGCGGTACTACTGGTATCTAGGATTATCTAGGATTGGAACGGGGTGCTACAAGAGGAAAGCACCAAAGATCGAACACTGCGCCTCTCGCCTGAATAAAACTGATGGACCCTACGTCAGGGGTGAAACATCCCACAGTACTCTACACTTTCCAGCAAGATCAAGGCGATATCAACATGGCAGAAGCAGCTACGCCGACACAAAAGAAACGCGAGCTTGATGGACAACCACTGTGGACTGTAGGGATGTATCTGCCAGCGTCCAGCAAGAGGACACACAACTCGGAGTATCACGAACGGTGCGTTCTGAGTATGTATGTGTGTATGTATGTATGGGTCGGCGCGGCAAGGAGAAGCATGCGAGTCTTGTTTGTCGTGACACAAATCTCCAGCAATATACTGAGCATCTAGTTTGCTGTCTGGAAAACAAGTTCAAGGAAAACTTCAAAAGAATTTGAGGAATTTGGAGAAAAATTGAAAAGTTCAAACTGATACTGATTCAAAACGTTCAAATTTTGAAACAGTTCGGTTGCGTTCGGTTGCGTGCGCTGCCTGGGTCCTCTCGGCCAACGCCTGTTGATTTTTTTCTTCCTCTGCTCGTTGTATTTCTCTCCACCGCCTTGGAGCCCAGCGGCGCCAACTGTAACAGGAGCAACGATTGCAATGAGTTCTGACATGTTCTGACAAATTTGTAGCAACTCAGCTCCAACAACAACTCCAAGAGCAGGATGAAGTTCTGAAGTTTGGTCAAGTTAGCTATCAGAAGCTTAACTCCAGCAAAATGGGGGCACAAAGCTGGCTGGACTTGAAGGAAAGTGTGGCAATGAGAAGCAACATGCTGAAATGATGACAGTGAATGCGGAAACAAAATCAGTGCAGGACTTGTACTAATTCGGTACTCATTCACCCCACTGCTCTCAGCAAAATGAGGCTCCTCACTCGTGCGCGGCTGTGCTGGCAAGGCCCAAGCTCTTTTGCAACCTCTTCACAAACCATGCGAACAAGCAATGAACAAGCAAGGACTTAAGCAAGTTAAGATTGTTGGAACACAAAGGCTTCAAACTCCTGCCATGTATTGTACAATGCTGTTTCGCCTTTGTGTTGAAAAGAGACACTGTAAGTGGAAAAGGATGGAAAAGGTGTCCACAGAGCTTGGGATTGTCTCTCTGGTGACACGGGGCCCAGACAACTCACCACAGCGGCGCACCACGTCTAACCGGCAAGCTTTGTCGCGGAGAGACCTCCTGAGCGAACATGGATAGAAATGGATAGAATTGGAGAGTCGGCGTTGCATTGCCCAAGAAGAACAAATCGCCAAAACTGTAGACAAACTGTGGAGTGTTGTGAAACAAACTTGACACTTCGATCCCAATCAGCGAGGAAGGCTTGGAAAACCATCTATCTGTGGCCAAGAAACCCAGACAGTGTAATGACTGCACAATGTCTAGATTCATCATTGATTCATCATTGAGTCATCATTGATTCATCTGATTCTCGATATTTCTCGATGCTTCTTTGATGGAGTCTGGGAAGGGAACGGAATTGGCGTGTCCACCTGGAGCTTGCCATCAGTCCACCCGAAGACCTTGTGTCGAAATGTCGTCCCAAAAAACTCAACACGTCAACACATTTGAGCGCAGTGTGCTACACACTACACGCTCGAAAAACGCTGCACATGCGCAGCCAGTTCATGCCATCTCAAAATGCCTCCAAACGTAGTCCTGGATGGTTGTGCCTGAATAGACTGGCCAGAAGGTGAAAATGACAACAGAAACAAATAGACACAATAAAATATACTAAAATTAGTGCGCTGGATATGAAAAGAAATGTTGACGAAGCAGGGTCAAGCCAGCTTTGGGATTCTTCAGCACCAGGCCATTCCAAAGGTTGCAGCCGTATATGCCGCACAGCACGCGGTGGTTGCGCCACCCCGAGGGGCACAAAACCTTACCCGAGTTGGCCCAACTGCTTTGTATCGGGTTCATGGGAGTCATGGGAGTCATGGCGCCAACTGTCTTTGTTTGATTAATGATGAATGGAAAAGGGCTCTGGCGAATCGTCTCTGCGTCACCACATCCTTCAAAAACAAAAGGCTTGCTTTCCTGAGCAAAAGGCTTCCCTGTTTCAACAGCTTTGAAATACTTTGAAACAAAAGGCTTCGAAGCTGACACATGTTTCAAACACCTGGGCTGTTGACAATATTATGACAATATTACCGGGCTAATGGACACAGACCCCTGGGCCCCTGTTCGGACTTCTGAAAGGTTTTTATGATCCCCAAGAACTAGCGGCTGTCTCCTATTGTGGGTTCACAATCGGAAAGTTGGTCAGGTCTCACATCTTTCAACACCGGAATAAACACAACCACTAAACATAGGAGCTTTGTATGGCTTTCTCTGAGAGGGGCACTCCCATGGCTGCGAGAGGCGTCCAGTCTTGGCCATTTTCGCTCCATGCGATTGACAGCTTTGTCACCTCAGACCGTGGCAGAGTGAGTTGTGCAGCATGACATGCCGCTGTCTGGTACATTGGAGAGACTGGGGCCTACCAAATCTACCAGAGTATTTTTGGGGCAGTCCCTACAAGATCAAGCGTAGGAATTTAGCTTGCTTCAGAAAACGTGCGAAAGGGCGCCAAAACACCCGGCAGAGGCAGCAAAGCAAACACCCAAGACACACAGTTCACGTCAACCCTTTCTTGATCTTTGTTGGCCATGTATTGCATTCTAGTGGTGCTTCTGATTTGTGGCACAGGTTTGTATGGTTCATACAGCACACTGCAGCACAAGGGCTCTGGCGTATTGGTCCTCGACATCTACCAAGCTGCCAACGTTTTGCAGCTTCTTCCTGAAGAACACCAGACCGTTCAAACCAACGCAAAATGAGACCCTGGGGCTAAAACTAAGCGGCTGGAATTAATGGAATCACTGGAGATCTACCAGGTTCCCAGGAGCAGGACTCTTGTCTGCTGACTTTCCATGATCACAAGCTGTGTTCAACAGACCCTGCAGACAAAAACAACCAATCCTTGACCCTGCAGACTGTTGACACCATGCGAAGCTGCTGGCAACCCATCTGGAAATAATATGCATGTAATGTGTATATATATATACAAATACAATACTGAAATCATGGCTTGGCTGTCCTGAGCCCCAAGTAGCACAGAAGCTGCAACAAGCGGTTGCTTTCCTGAGCTTTGTAACCAATGCATGCACATATCCTGCCAATAAGATACACCCTGAATTCATTCTCAAACATCTTTCAGGTCGTTGTCAAACATGTCATTGTATGTCGTTGTATGTCGTTGTACTCTGAAATCTGTCCTACCCGTCTTACGTGTCTTGCCCAACCTTGACTTTGCATTGTGCGATGTCTGCAATGTCTGCGATGTCCACTGCGGCCCTTGCCACGGTGTTCTTGCCACCAAGGATGTCAGATGCGCTCACTTTCAGCGGCTGCACCTTCAGATGGTGCGCGGAAAGAGCTGAAAGTTTTCTTTAAAGTATCGTGTAATCGTGTAACTAGATGTATGAGACAATATGATAAAATATGATGTATGTAAATAGTGCATAATACCCATATGCCTCTGTAATATATCTGTTCTACTAGTAGTGTCCAAAAGAAACGTCGAGCACTACTTTTGATCGAAATTTGTCTTGTGTCTCTCTTTTCATTTGTCTACTAGGTCCTCGGTCTGTTTGCAGGTCCATGCCCGCCTTGTCGTTCCATCCAGCCGCTTTGATGGCGTGGCCCTTGGTATACATCCGATCGGATGAATCAGAAACTTGTGCGCGATAGAATTGCCCTGCTCTGTGGAAGACACTGCTTTTGCCAAAAGCAATTCGAAGAAATCCACCTGCACGGGGTTTTACATCAAGAACAGAGACTCTCGAGGTGTCCACTTTCTAATCTTTCTATAAAGTTGTAATTTTTGACAGGGGAATCGTCTCCCATGTTTTTTGCGAAAGCTTCCTGTGTCTTTGTCCAGGTTTTCCGTGCCTTGGCTTGTCGATCGGTGTTCTGCAGCTGCTTGTAGTCCAGCTGTGCCGCTGTAAAGTCAGGCCTCAGCACGACATGGCCCGACTTGGCCCGACTTGGGCCGACTTGGGAATGGGGCATTCTGTACAACGCTGGACAACTCTGTGCACCCCTAATGACTGTCCGGCTCTGACTCTATCCTCATCCTCACTATTTGGACTTCGTATGTCCTCCGTGCTTCATGTTGTCACACAAGTCCCCAACTTGCCCGCGGCCAACGCCTTTGGAAGAGAGACAAAGGGACAAACCAAATAGTGCAGAACAACGCGCCTGTGATAGCGGTTCATTTCAAAACACACTTGGCTAGCCTGATGCCGACCATGAACGGCCTAAGTGGCAATGCCATTGCAACGGGTCGTTTCCGGGGTTTTGCAGAGTTTGCCTAAGGCTAATCTCAATGATCTGCATCAAATTCTCAAAGAATCTACTTTCCAAAACATCCTCCATATATGATCATATATGTACCTGTACACCTATGCATATGATTATAAATATATAACATATAAACATACACATAATTCCAATTTGTTAACCAAACATAAACAAAATTAAAGGACCGGATAACCCCACAAGTCAACTTCTTCCAGTAATGAGCTTCAAAGGTTGTGGCGGGGACGGGGAAGGAAGGAAAGACAAAGGAGGTGGTGAAGGAGCGAGAAGTTAAAACAGTTGTGTGTGACAAAGTGGCATGTGAAAGACGGTGTGTGACAAAGCAAGAAGGTATGTGAAAAGATAGTATGCATGTACGTGTGTACGTGTGTACGTGTGTACGTGTGTGCGTGTGTATGTGTGTATGTGTGTATGTATGTATGTATGTATGCATGCATGTATGTATGTATGTATGTGTGTATGTGTGACAAAGTTGTGTGTGACAAAGTTGTGTGTGACAAAGTTGTGTGTGAAAGATGGTGTGTGTGTGAAAGTGACGTGAGTCCGCGACAGTGCAGACATCTTTTTTTCGCCAGCGCTGCAATGTCATCTGCTCTGCATGCGGCATCACTGCGGACCTGGAATGGGCTGACTGAGGTGTTCCATGATCTTCTGTGCTCCGTGTGGTGCAACGAGATGTTCTACGTGACAGCCGCGCCTGTCCTACAGCCACGAATCCGACGATGGCGACATAGAGGAAAGGTACCTGGCCGCAAAAGTCTAGAACACGAATGTAGCTGGTTGTCAATGCAACTATGGAAGACAAGTACAGAGCGCATGCCTGTCAAGTCACGACACAGTCACAGTGGCAAGCACCATGGTTATGACGCTAACTGTGCAGTTTTTCCCAAATATGTCAACCAACCACAAATTTCAGAAACACACAGGCATCATAGACATTCAAATAGGTGTCGGTTCGCGATGCATCTGCATACGCTTCTTCCCACATTGGGTCAAAGCTCTTGCTCCCGAGGACATAGACTCGTTGACTCACTGTCGGGCCGTGCGACACGCGCCCGTCCTCCGTCCAAGAAGCTCACTGGATGGGCACCTGAGCCAGCAGCAAACACACAGAGGCTTCATGCGTGCTATCTTGTTACAACATGACAGCGGCAGCCAATTAAATCTTACTAGTTCCACCATATTGGATATATTAAGCAATGAATTGCTGTGTAGGGTTCTCAACTTAGCACGCATGCTATCTTGTCACAATATGAACCCAAACAACCAGTCTTTTCTTCATAGTTTAACCACACTAGATATCTGTTTTATGAACCGTATAGATGCTCTCGAATTAATGTCCTAGGTTCCCTACTTCTCGTTTCGCAATGGAAGCAACACACCACGGGGAATGTCAAACGAAAGAAAGGACGGCACACAGACGCAGATGCAAAGGCAAGACGTTCTCGTTGGTAACTCTGCACCTGTAATGTGACAATTGGTAAGCAGCTGATTTTTTTCCGACAAACACACCTTGAGAACACTGCACAGTCGAAGCTGCTCCGTACTCATTGCGGACGAGGAAATGTTTCTTTCCGGGCCAGAAATGATTCTTCACGCATTGTGTCAAACCATTTGTTTCATCACCGAAGGAAGTTTAGAAGTCAAACTTCCGACAATATGGACAGATGAAAAGCAGAGCTGGGCAGAGGCAGAGAGAAGAGGAGAGTAGAAGAGAGAAGATCAGAGAAGAGAAAGAGTCAGAAGAAAGCAGATGCAGATGCGCGAAAAGGTAGGAAAGTCGCGAAACATTGTGTTTTTCCAATGATTTGAGGCTCCGGAGGGTCCAAAAGTAGGCTCGCTAAAGCGGCGGGTGCGGAGCCAGCTGGCCAGATGAGAGATGAAAAATTGCACGCCGTTGTGGCGCGAAGCACATGTCGAAGTCAAAATGTACAAAACACTGTCGCACCACTCTTGGAAGTTGAGATGTCGAAAAAGTGCACGCAGTTGTGGCGCGAAGCGCATTTCCAAGTCAAAATGTACAAAACACACCACTTTTGGAAGTTGAGATGTCGAAAAAGTGCACGCAGTTGTGGCGCGAAGCACATTTCCAAGTCAAAATGTACAAAACACCTCAGCACCGGACCACTTTTGGAAGTTGAGATGTCGAAAAAACGATCAGGCAGGACCTGGCCCCACGACTCATAAAGGTATGCTCCAACAATCCGATGACAGCCGCGCCTCTCCTCCAGCCACGAATCCGACGATGACGACATAGAGGAAAAGTACCTGGCCGCAAAAGTGCAGAACACGTATGTAGCTGGTTGTCAAAGCAACTATGGAAGACAAGTACAATATATCTATTCACAGGTACAAGAAAGCCGCGCCTGCCCTAAGGTGACGATGCAAGAGCGGAAAAGTACCTGGCCGCAAAAGGATAGAGCACGTATATGGAGCTGGTTGTCAAAGCAACATATACAGAAACGGTAAAATTCAGTCTGCCGCACGAATGCCACATTTTCGCTGTGATCAAAATCTTGACAAGGCCTGTATAGCATTTCGTCCCACAGTGGGGCAAAATCCACACATGTCACGAACATTCTTGATTTGGCCGTCGCGACCCCAGTCTTCTCACATTGAGTCAAACATGCGTCCGGCAGCCAAAAGATGCGCTGGCCGTCGTCATTCATGTCTTCCCACATTGAGTCAACCATGAGATGACAGCTGACAAAAGATTCGCTGGCCGGCCTCACTCATGTCTTCCCACATTGAGTCAACAATGAGTGCAGCTAGTACGTCTGGCGACGTCAATACGGTGCAGGATTGCACACTCAGGCGCCGTCCTCCGCCATCGTTGTCTCTTCAGGCGTTTGCTCGACGACGCTGGCGAGTCGTTTCATTGGTGTCCATGCCGAATCATATGTGATGGTCTGTGGGGCACTCACCTCTGACTGGTATAGCTGCATCAGAAATCGTGTGGCTCCTTTCACATGGTGTGCATCAACTGGGACGTGCCAGAGCACACTCCACTCGCCTTGTTCTTCCGTGTGGGCCAAGACCACCAAGTGCGCTTCGCCCGCGCGGCCTCGCAGTATCTAATTGACTAGCGAAGCCGGACCAGCGCTCCGCAGCTTTGCCCGGTGCATCACGCTTGCCTCGGCAGCACCAGACAGCAGGCAATCGACGGATCTCTTCACCCGCATCGCCGAGATGGCTGTGTTGTCTTGCTGAAGAGTTTCATCATCGGGCAGGGGCACGTCATTGAAAGCCACCAGAGCCCGCACGAAACTAGCTTCCACGTCACCAATACAAATCAACCCTAACTGCACATCGACCTGCAGCATGTTCAAAGGCGCCACGGGACAGCCAGTATTCAACTGGCAGTGCGGAACTTTCCGCTGGAGCGCGCCAGGCTCGACGACAGCGCTCGCTCCGCTGGCCCGCCAGCACGGCTGCAGATGACGGCACTCTAGCTCTAGAGTTTGTTGATACTCGTTTTCACGGAAAGTGAATCTGCAAAGCCACTGGGCCCCCCGGAACAAGTCACGCAGCTGCAGGCGCACTGCCGGGGTGTCGTGCACCGTGTCGGAGAGCGTGCAACCCATGCTGGCGGCTGCTCGCAGCACCAGTTCGTGGTACAGCACGACGGTGCACTGGCAGTTGCAATCTGCGAGCGTGAGCCTGAGAGCAAAGCGCTTCTCGGTGCCGACCGTGGGATGAGCCTCGCAGCCAGGAGGCAACGCACAGGTCTTGGCCGGTGTGATAAGGTTCTTTTAAAACAAAGACCAAAAACGAAAAGACATCACACAAAAACGGTTCGACTCCATGCCTCGCACGGTGCTGCCTTTTTGCATTTCACACACGAATCGATGAGCCACACATCCGTTTCCGTCTTCACAGACGAAATGCCCAAAACTTGCAAACCGACAACTTCAAAGACTATCTCCAACTTCCGCAATTGCCCAGGCACGATCGCTCCCACCAGAGCGCTCAAGGATGTGACGGTGGCAGGGCAGCCAATCCAATCCTTCACCGGAATTTCGGTCAACATGCGGCAATTGTCTTGGTGGGCCAGTTCTGCCTGCCTGCAGCAAAGTTTGTTGAGCAAAAGTTAAAACAAAGGTCACAACCAAAGTGTGTGAAACATCATACAGCCAAGAGACATCGCCGTCGCCATCTCTGCACTGCATGCCACAAGAGAAGTGCCTCGCCAGCTGCCGATCTCCCACGATCTTTCATCCTTGCGCTTGGTGATCAAAACCTGGTAGAGCATCAGACTCGTTCCAGCTGGCTGCGCTGCCAATTCTTCGGCTTGCTCATGCCAAAAAGAACATCTCACTCGCGTTGTTCCTTGCTGCACAATAGCATTGCACACCAACGCAGCACCATCTTTTGTCTGACGTTCCACCGAACCCGGATTCTCCACAATTGTGACCGCAACACAAATCTGCTGTCGATCTCTGACCCGATCCAACGCAGAGAGCGGCACTAGCGGATGCACGGCTGGTATTCCCTGCCACGGATCTTCATGAAGCTTCTGCACAATGACCTGTAGTCCCAAAGGTCCTTTCAGATTCAAATGGTAATGGAACTGCGAGGTAGAGTATTGGGCTGGCGAAGCTACCATATTCCTTGGATAGAGACCAGACCACCGACCTGGCACTTTTGTGCTAACTTGTCATTGTCTCCGTTTTCGCCCCAAGCTTCCACGTAGAGCACTTCACTCAAGCTCTGCGTAGCAGCGACATGGGCTTCCAACTTCCGAAGCGGGCGGGTCTCCGGCTGCCCTTGCCTTTTCTGCCACCAGTGGGCGCTGCCGCCGCTTGTGTTCCTTTTCTCGACTGGATCTCCTGGTGCTTGAGGATCACAATGCGACCGGCCACGGCAGTGTTCTGGTCGCCGCGGTACTCGGATGGCTTCAAGCACGTCACTGCCATGTTCGTGCTTCTGGCTGTGCCCATGCGTTACCAACGTGCTATGCAGTTTGCTTCGATTTAAACCTGTGAACCTATAAATGCTTTATTGCAAACCTTTGGTGGCTTTCTGCTCTGGTGGCTTCTTTCCACGTTGGGCCAAAGCCACCAGAACAGCAATCGATAATTACATATTGATCTAGAACACTGTTTGTACGGTGATGTTTGAGCTGACAAGTCATAACCACGAGTGCTGAGTCAGTGCTACCGAGCCAAAAGTAGATTCTAAAGGAGCACCTCTAGACACAAAGGTATCATATTTTGCGTTGCAACGAAATCTTCCAAGCAATCCGATGACAGCCGTGCCTCTCCTACAGCCACTCATCGGAAGGTGATAACATTGCGAGAAAGCATCTGGTTGTCAATGCACCTCATACACACGCATATTACAAGACACGCAGATCATAACAAGCATAGCAATTATACCATACACACGGCATGACATTTCTTACCCACAGCATGAACGCAGCAACAAGCACTCATCTTCTCGTTACACATATTTCACGCACGGACCGGACATGCGGTATCACTGGGGACTTCCTTTGTGTTCAATCTGCGCTCCAATGTCAAGTGTTTCATGCGAATTCTTCCCATAGTGGGCCAAATTCGAAGCTCATCGATACAATGTGCAAGCATTGGTTCTTTGCACGTTGCGCAAAACCACTCCGGACTCCTGTGTACCAGGAAGCGACCCGCAACGTTTCTTTGCACATTGCGGCAAAACTTGTTTCCGGATCACTGCGGAGACTGTCGTGAAAGCGGCCATCCACCTTGGTCACATGGACACTGAACACTTTGATCTCTTCGACGTTGGCGTCATTTCTGAGAGCGCTTGCTCGACAATATCACACACAGACAGTCGCCTCTTCTCCCAAGTCTTGAGCGCCCACAAAATGTGTGGCCTTTTGTCCCAAGGATTGAGAGTAGGACGTGCCTTCAAGAGCACATCAATGGCATCGTCTGCGTCCATTGCGTGCTTGAAGATCAGCCACGCAGCCAAAGCAGCGCTGCTCCGATTGATGCCACCAAAACAATGAAACAGCAAGCCAGTCGAGAGATTGTCTCCCCGCCCCAAAAGAGAACGACTGATTTTTATACACATATTTTGCCATGCGGCGAAATAGCAGTTGCCCATCTCTTCGCAAAAATAATCTTCTCCGGGCCACTTTGTTCTGGGATCGTGCAAGTCGATCGTGACGTGTTCCAGAGACATTCCAGTCAAGAATGCCGCCCAGCCTTCTTCAGGTTGTCCACGACTTTTTTGCATCTCAGATGTGCACAAACTGATGACAACATGCACTTCTTTCGTGTCCCTCAAACATCGCAGAGCTGCCAGGCTGCCCAGAAAACAGGTTGCAGTCTCCGTGCGGTCGACAGGGTGCACACGAACCATGTCGTTGGGCCACTCCGAAGTGTCACCAAAATGATATAGTCGAAGCCATTCACCAGTCGATCAACTTCTGGCCAGTCACTTTCCGGCATTGCGGTGCTGCGACGAAGCTTGGCAGCCGCAGCGGTGCACCATTGCTGCATTTCCGTGTCATACGGATCCATAACTGTAGGTGATCGATCCAATAGCTTCTTCGCACGTTGCACCAAAGCCGTCGGATCAGCAGCGAGTTACCGGTCAGAAGCTACACTCGTTTCAAAGCCAACAATGACTGCAGCGCAACGAGTCAGCCGACCAGCACAACTCATGGGAACATAGGTCGAAACATATTTCTTTGAACGCAACCTGGACCAAGGACTCCTTTTGCCGCGCATGAATCTGGTTACTCCGATGCCATGTAAAAGAAAGACAAAAGTCACCACACATTGTTTCAACTTTTGTCGTTGATGATTTAAGGCTTGTTCCCCTTAATGGGGGCTACTCAAGGTAATGGGGGGCACTGCTTTTGCAGTGGTATATATAAATACGAATAAATAAATAAATATATATATATATGTATATATATATATATATATATCTGTGAGATGCCCTCAGCGGCGTGAGCAAGCGATGAATGCTGGAAGTTAGCACCGTCTTGTGAGGGAGGTGCCCTCAGCGGTCATGAATGCTTCAAGCTAAAGCAACGTCTTGTGAGGGAGGTGCCCTCAGCGGTGTCAACAATTGTGACGAAGGCTGCAAATTTGCAACGTCTTGTGAGGGAAATGCTTTTTGAGCGGCGTGAACAAGTGATGAATGCTGCAAGTTTGGCACTTGACCTATTCTCTCTACTTCTTTGGCTCAAGTTGAAAAAGTATTACGCTTCCAATGTTTTGGGGCGGATGTATTTTTGGCAATTCCTTTGCGGGGCACCGAACGAGAAGTCTGCAATGTTTTGACTTTGAAAGGTTTGAAAGGGAACGCGATTTTTTGAGTGAGAGATTTCTGTTTTGCAGCGGGATATTTTGTGTGATGGCTTGTGCAGTTATTATGGCTTTGCTAAAGACGATGTCGGCTGTCAAAGTGCCACTGAGTTTTTTTTGCCATCCAGCGTGGCTGTTTTGGGTCTGGCTTGAGTTTCCCAGCTTCTCCGTTCAAAAGCCGTGCCACGTTGCAATGCGAAAAGTTGCTGCCAAGATGGGAACCTTAGTCATGCATTTGGCGCCTGTATATGTTGTAAAGATTTTGCCTTTGCAAAACTTTTTTTGAGACGATGCTGAGGGGTGGATTGGAACCTTTGGAATACCCACTGAGAAGTACATGTACACGATGGTTTATGAGAAACCTTGCGAAGGCGATGGCCCCACCGGATGGCAACGTGTTGAAATTCGAAAGATGACCGGCTGGAAGTGTTGTTGCAGTGGTGTTTCGATTATTATGTTTCTCGAAGTGCTGACTCCCGTGTGATTTTTCAGGAAAGATTAGTTTTTTATGTCAAAGACCAGCAGGTGACTGACAAACCTGTGTGGGAGTTGGGTTTGAAATTGTTTGACGTAGACCAGCAGCAAGACTGCTCTGTGGTTTTTCGGCTTGCCTCTATTATTTAATTCATCTGGGACTCATGGTTCAGGAGACTTGAAAGCCGGTCGCAGGAGAAGGAAAACTACGCGAATGTGACAGTCATATTTGGTTTCTGAATTTTACAGATGGCTGCAATATTTTCTGAAGTTGCTGCTATGGTTCTAGATTGCAAGGATCTATTCAGGTTTTTCCCCAGCCTGCAACCAGTGCAGCACGTGCATCCAAACAATTTCCAAAGCATTGCTTTTTAAAATGATGACTGTGTTTTTCCCAATGTTGTCACTCAGTGTGCTTCTGTCCATGGAATCACTGAGCAATTGCGGGGCCATCCTCTGCAGATGGACCTGTCCATACGCAGCCTGTTGTGAGTGTTGGGGATCTGGTTCTGGCGGCGTTGATGGCCGAACAGCAGGCGCCTTCTGAATCTCTAATTTTGATACAGCATGTATGTCGTGATATCTCCACCACTTTTGATTTTAAAGAAAATTGAAAAAACACCGCATTTGTTTGAAATCTCTTTAGCGCATGGCTTCAGGTGTCAGTCTGTCCTGAGAGTTCGCCTGCCGCTTCAAGCATTGCTACGCGTGACCGACCTATTGCTCAAGGTGCTTCTTCTGATGCGTGCTCCACTGACTTGTCGTGCCTCCTTCACACACCTCCGTGGAGATTTAGCATGGATAACGTTTATACTTTATAATGTTTTTTAGTTTTTGCATGTATGCGGTTTGTGGTGGGGAGGATGTCTTTTGATAAATTTATTTTTGTTTGCTGAGGAACATGCCATCGCCGCCAAAGAGTTCTGAGTCTTCAGCAGCTGCAAATCTGGTGAGTGCCAGACAGATTTGCAAAGTTTTTTTTGTTATCTAAAATCTGAATGAAAACACAACTTTCAGCTTCAAGGTTTTAAAGTTGTTCTATGGTGCCTTATTCCAACCCAGGAGACGAATGGCGGATTGAACGAGTTGCTCAGCCTACGGTTCCTGCAAACCATCATCATGTCGACTGGCAGCAGACAGTGGCGGCAGATGGACGATTGGTCTTGGACCGATCACAACAACAATGATTGGACACTGACTTTGCATCCTAATTTCAATAATAGCAACCGTGCCAGGGACAGATCTATCCGTGGCTACAATCGTAGAAGGGCTGAGTGGACAGCGTGCTACAGCCATCGCGGGTTTTTCCGCGCTTTGGGGCGGTTGCGAGAGTGCAGTACTAGAGTTTGAAAAAATCATTGTCACAGCAGCGTCACCCATCATCCTGACATCCTGTTGACATCTTCACTTCCAACGTATTCTAACCTTCCAGCTGCCATCATGTTGCCTCTTATTTTTCTTACCCTGTTCCTCAAAGATTAAGCCCACTTGCATTGTCAATTTTAGATGACATGATTCCAAACTTTACAAGACTAGTGTTTTCAGAATACGTTGCACCTCAATTCTCGGAGTCGGGTTTCAGCCACGCCTTGCGAGCCTATGCCGCTTGAATATTCTTTAGGCCAAGATGGCACTCCAGTCGCTTTTTGGCACAAAATTCTAAGCGGCGGCCGTGCGATTTTTTTTTTTGGCGGCATGGCTCCACGGTGCCAGGCAGTACAAGAACATCACAGGAATTGTGAGGCAGTCGAATCATTTGCTGAAGAACTGCTCTCGCTACGTGAAAGCTGGTGATGCATGTGCTCAGAAAATTTTGCCGTTGCGGCAGAAGCGCTGAGGAGATCATCCTTGGCTTTAGCCCATGGTGTCCCACAATCAGTCACTTTTTAGCCTGCGCGAGGGCGTCGTCCTTGAGCGTTTCTTGGTTTGGCTGGACCCAGAACAAATTCTTTTCCTTTTTGCCCGGGCTCAAAATGAAAGAGGGAATGCCTTCATGTCTGGGCTCTGTTTTTCTTCGCACTTGGACACGCATTGCGCGTTATTTTGAGGGGCATGTTGCAGTCATTTTTCATCATAAGAGCATCGCAACGCTGCGACTATAGATCAAGGACTCACATGTATTTTGGAAATTTAAATTTTGTTTTAAAGAGATGTACCTAAGGTAAGTCACAGCCGGGATTGAAGCTCCTCATGCAGAAGTTTCACGCTGTGGTGGCCCACGTCGATTTGACACTGAAGCCCCGCAGCAGCATCGAGATCACGATCGCTGGAGCAGATGGCATTTTCTTGGTGTCGCCATTTCTGATTCTTGCTGGCTGGCTTTAGTTTTTGGTCCTATGTTTTTTTCATTTTTGGCCAGGCCAGGCCCTTTGAAACCTACCAACAACACTCTGACTTAGACCTTTCTTTTTTGAACTTTACGCGGTTGAAGGTTTTAAGATTTAGAGGCCGGCCACGGTGCAACTCTTCCAACTCAGGATTCCCAAGGCAACACCTGCCATGGAGATGAAGCCTATGATGATCAACAAGTTGAAGGCCAGCAAGATGTTTACCGAAGTTTCCAGACTTGATGCTAATGATTTTTTCTTTCATTGGTGGGGCGCGGTGGGGCCCTTTTACCACCATAGCTTGCTGCAAGCAACGTTTCCCTGCCGCAATTGAGGTGGAAATTGCCGCCATGAAGTTCCAGTTCAAGGGCTGCACCTTCAAGAAGTTCCATGAGTCAATTGTTGCGCACGACCTCTTGAGTTTGAAGAAGGCCGTGTTGAAGAAGGTCATGCAGAGCGGCAAAAAGTTGCCATGATAGCCAGCATGCTAGGTGGCAGCCCGCCCTGTTGTGGGCATTTGCGGTTTTTGAACATGACATGTGGTCGTCTGAAAGATGGCTTAGATCAAGTGAGACGAAAGGTGTTGGGCAAAGATTGCGTTGCGCTTCAAGTGCAGGTCAGTTTCATTTTGAACTAAGCCCGCAGGGTTCATGTGATATGATTTGTGGGAGGCTATCAGAGTTGTCGCCCGCTGTTTATTTCGTGTTGCCAAGTCAGTGTGTTTGGCCCAGATGAAACAACAGCATGATGCTTGGTAGCTCCAAAGTTCTCCTTCCTTGTCCTAAGCCAGCCTATCGAAAACATAGGAAGCAATTGCCGCTTCTGACCACCCAAACTCTGCGGGCGAAGCACTGCTTTCTGAAACGGTCGGTGACTAGACAGGTAAAGGGCAAATTTAAAGTCTGTGTTGTTCTTGTTGTCAGCCTCCTAAACCTCTTACTAGGGAGATCTGGTTGACAAGCCATTGTTTTTTTTGATCTGGTTTGCAGTCACAATGGTAATTAGTGCCGTGATTTAGGCGAACTGCTATGCGCACTGGCTTTGTTAACATCCGAAGAGAATTGCGGAAAAGAGGGGCTCCAATTGCAGTCCCGATGGCGATGTGCCAGATTCCCTGACTGAGAGTTCAGATTCTGAGAGTTCAGATTGCTCAGTTGAGACTGTGCACAGCAGCTCTGGTCATGAAGATGCCCAGAGCCAGCAGCTTGGCTCCGAGGGTTCATTTGTTTTTTAGACTTGTTCTTCCTTAGCTCGATTCTGGCAGTGTGGGTTTGCTTGAAGGATTCTTCTGTGATAAAAGGATGCAGTGAACTTATTGTTGATTAATGTTCGTGTTGACAAATACCATGATGCCCTTTCAAGAGTTGGTGGAAAATCTGCTGCTGAGCCATTTTTGATTAAATTAATGAGCTTCCTGCGCATTTAGGTAGGATCTGGCGACGTGACTTTCTGACCCGATGTGACGGCAACCATCTACCAGTTGGATGATGAGTTAATAGAATTTCTAATTCTAATTCGAGAAAACTTCCTCTGCGCCTTGTTTAGGGCGCATTCTTTGCGTGTAGAAACGCAACGCTGCAGATCTGCCATGATGCGTGGGAAATCGCACAGTCAGGGACAGTCAGGGAGATATGTCATGGTTTCACGGGAATAGGAAAGCGCCCTAGATTGATTGGATGTCTTGGCAGGTCTTGGAGCTGCTTTGTGTTTGGCGCAGCCAGCTTTTTCTCCAAATGTAGCAGTAGCAACCATTAGCGGTGATGTAATCAATATGGAAGTTAAAACGAAGGACAAGGACTTGCAAGTTGCCAACTTTCCCATCGTCACAATGTTTCTAGCTGTTGTGATTCCCACCATAATCATAATGGTGATATTTACTGCATTCTGAGACTGAACTGACCTGGAATGTTTTGGGCTCTGGACTTTCCTCCAGAAGATGGCAGATTGAGGGGATGATCTTGGATGCCTCCTCCACTTGCCGTCTTGGATTACCTTTCTGATGATGAACCTCAGCAGATAGTTCCAGCTGTAGATGAGCTGTCAGATGATGGCGCAGAGCCTGCTCCTGCCCCAGGCGAACATGTTCAACTTCCGCCTCGGAAACGGAAATATTTGGAACAGGATCAGGTGACCGAGCATTTTCGTCGTTTGCGACTTGTGGTGCAATCAAACTGCAAGTGTTCCAGCCCTACATGCAGGAGTCCGTGGAAAAGCGATCAAGCTGCTTTGCAGGATCTCTTGCAGAAACGCTTGCAGATACACCAGCTTCCGAAGCTTGAAGCAGATCGGGAGGTTCTTGGTTTGCGCATAGATTTTCTCAGAATTTTGAAACCAGTTTTTGCCAGAATCTGTTTCCTTGTTGTGGGGTATAAAACCTTTCACCCCGATTTCCTTTGAAGGGGTCCTAGTCCAGGGCATCTTTCATCTCGAGGACCACTGAAAGAAAATTTGTTTAATGATTGAGTTCAATGGTCCGAAGAGCTCACTTCCTCAGCGGATTTGTCCATGGATTTCATCAAGTGACATGGTGGGATGTGACCCCCTTAACATTGCAGAAACATGATACTTGATGCTATCTACAAACGCGGCCTTCATAGAGATATATTGTAGCCACCATCGGAAATCCACCGAAATAAATAATTTCATAGACAAAGAAACCAAAACCCAATCCTTGAAACGTTTCCATTTTGAATTTTGAACCACTATAATTCTGTAAGCGTCGAAACTAGAACTTTTCCTCGTTGGCATCCGTTCTATACCCAAAAACCGCGCGCGAACCCAACGAAAAGAACATGCTTTTCTCAAAGAAACCCCGCGAGTAGGAAACCCAAGCACAGCCAATCGGATGAGTAAGACTCAACGGCAATCCCTCTTTTGACGCAGATTCCAAGTCTTTTTCTGGTAGTGGTTTGATGGGCACCTCAGTTTGAAAGCTCTGAATGATGGTTTCATAGTCAAGTACATGTCCAAAATAAAATACAGCAGATTCTTCAATATATAGGTTTGAAGGGGCCGCAGGCTACTGCTTACACATGATGACTGTCGAAGGTGTTTGCATGTTATAATGTTGCCTCTTAATTTTATGCAATTTTATATCTCAAGACCAGAGATGCTGTCTCTTGTGGCCTAGGTATTCGATATGCTGAAGAGACAAGGGCCGCAAGAGCGACGGGCTTTACGCCTGTTGAACCACAGTGTTTGCCAGAGATCGTTTCGATTGCTGCTGGGGTTGGGCAAGCGGCGCTTTCAGCGTTTACGCAATGCTGTCATAAATGATGAGCAGGAGTGTCCAGTCGATCAGCGGTTCAGCCCCCGAGCGTACAGCCGGTTTCCAGATGATGGTGTGCGTCCAGCTATCGTTCAATTCTTGCGTACCTTGTACCACACGACTGCAGAGCCTCTACCAGAGGCTGTTTCCAGCCAGACAGGAAGTGGCAATCATCCTGGCCAGGATGAGGGTAGCCGTGTGAAACTGGGACCTCAGAATCTAGTGAGAAGACGTGGGAAAAGACCACGGCATTTCTGCAAATATGACTCAGCGGAAGAGCGAGGTCACATTTCCACGGCAAAGTTTCTTCCTCCTGGGACGATCTTGGACTACCTAGAGCTTTGCCGGACTGAAAATCCGTCATTGAAAATTGGCCGGAAGGTCTTTACACGCGTGCCTTGGCTGTATAGGGTAGGAAGGCAGCCAAATTTTGGTCGACATCCAGCATCCAGAACCGGTTTCCATGTAGCAATCTTTGTGTGATTTGGGGCTGACTTGACATGCCAAGGATGTGGGGATCTGATTAGACCAATAACATCATGGCTAGTGTCTGCTAAATTTGCCCCCCCCGGGAGGATTAAATGATCTGTTACCCAGCCAGTGGCTGCATGTTCAACTTTTCTTTGGAAAGAACACGCAGAATGAAATTTTAACTTAGTGTCTCTATTTTGTTGGGTTTCGTCACCTGAGGTGTGGGAAGAGAGTTTTAGAGATGTGTTATTCATCAGACAGCGGTCGCAGCACACCCGGTGCTCGATTTGCGTGCGCCATAAGCTGGTCCTCAAACGGCTGCGTCGAAACCTTCCAGCGCGCAAAGCGCAAATGGATACATACCGAGCACACCTTCGGAAGCAGTATGAGGATAGAGTCAGATATTGGAAGTCAAGATCTGATTCTCGTATGGCAGAGGCCACTTCAGAGGGGGTCATGCGCATTGCTGTCACAATAGATTCTATTGACCATTCGAAATTTGCATGGCCACGTGCGACTGCAATGGATGCCAAGGAATTTGGTCAATTCATTAGACCTACCCTGGGAGTTACAGCAGCAATAATACATGGATATGCTGTGCTGTTTTTTGTGTCGGAGCCACACATGGCACACGATAGCAGCTGGACATCTGAGATTATTGCTTGTTGCTTGAATTTCCTCAAGGATAAGTTTCCATTACTGGACATGCGAAACGTTCACCTGTCCTGCCACGGCGACAATTCGAGCAAAGAGCTCAAAAATAATTCTGTCATGCGCCTGCTATCAGGACTCGTGGCTGTGCGCCGACTGAAGGGGGCATCCTTAGGGACCCTTCAGTCGGGGCACAGCCACGAGGACATCGATCAGATGTTCTCGTCCCTGGCGACCCATATCCGAAACGAATCTGAGCTCCATTGCCCATCGGATTTTGTGCAGTCAATACAATCTTGGTTGGATCAGCCGCAAACCCGTCCATCAGAGAAGTTCAAGCGTTGCTTCAAGTTGGATCAAGTACGTGCTTGGATTCTCGGCATGTGGATGTCCCAACCGGTGGCTGCTAGCGGCTGCTGTTTTTCCAATATGTATCCAGTGAGCCAGGCAAACTTTTCTAGATGCACCTGGTATTTTTTTGAGATTCCCCACCTGGTATTTTTTTGAGATTCCCCACATGGTATCTGTGAGCCTGCCAAGCGCCCACATTCAGGAAAGCTCAGTTGCACCAACTGTTTGAGAATGGCCAGCTGCGGGGAGTGGGTGGCCCTGGAGCTCCGCACTGGTTTGAATTCAGCCGACTGGAGGATACTGGTACTTTGCCACAATTTGATGCCAGCAGATTCTTCTGGATTCTTCTGTTCACACATTGATTCAAAAATTAGGAAAGTCTGATGATCCTGTTGTATTGAAGAAGAATGGCATGTTCTTTTATCGCCTTTTATCAGGGCATAAAAGCACATTCTTTTTGGAATCGTGTTGGGGTCATGTTGGGCCTATTTCATTAGAGCCTATGTTGGGTCTATATTGAATGTTCATCAGGGCACCCACGCCGGTACCCAGATGAACAATCGCTTTTGTTGCATATGTTGGGGTCATGTTGGGGCCATGTTGGGCCTATTTGAGTGATAATTTACGAAATTTCCTGTGCGGGCGGGCCCGCCCCAAAGGACCCCAGGAAGTGCAAAAAATAGGTGCCAAAACCCAGGAAATAACGCGATTTTCCTGGACTTGGGGGGGGTCTTTTGGCAAGGCCCAAACAAGAGGAAATTTGCAATTGCTAATTTTCCACTTGGGTCGGCCCACGGAAAAAAAAAATCAAAAAGTCGACTTTTTGGTGACGCCGTAGCGTCCTTTTGTGTTGGCCAAACAAAATGGAAAATTGCCATATTTGAGGCCTATGTTACATTTTTATTGAATGTTCATCGGGGCACCCATGCCAGTACCCAGATGAACATTATCTTTTTTGTGGCATAGGTTCGGGTCACGTTTTGGGCCATGTTGGGCCTATCAAGGCACGAGAGGGTCTGGGCCTGTCAAGGCACGAGAGGGGTCTCCAAGGGACTTGGGGGGGCCAAATTCTGAAGAAACCGTACCAGCAGGATAAAATTGGCACCTATGTTAGATCTTTATTGAGTGTTCACCTGCCGGTACCCAGATGAACATGCCTATGTTGGGTCTATGTTGAGCTATGTAAGGTTAAAGCGTGAAGTTGGTCCAAAAACAGTCAGGTGCCTCCTTGGAACCTTGATTTAAGGGCTTCAAGGAGCCAATGTTTTTGAGGCCGTGTTGACTTAGGCCTATGTTGGTGCTACATTGTGGGGCCATGTAGAGACTTATGTTGGGTCTGAGTTTATGTTACCACTGCTTCGACCCCACCGCTTGCACAGAATTGCTAAAACCTAACCGGCTCAATTGGATTTTGAAGCGGTCTGGAGGAAATTGTAGTTGGGAACCTTTAGACTTTGACGTTTCTGTACTTTGTACAATGCATTTATCCCAGGTATACCGCAGGACAGAATCCTGGACAAGTTTTGGCGAACGCGTGGTTATCGTGAGCGGAGAGACCGGGATGTTATTGTGAGGATACTTGCTTATCGGCGATGGTTGAGGCTGATAATTTTAAAGTTGGGTTTAGTTTGCTTCACAAAAAAGAGGACCCCCCTTATGTAACCTTATATGCCCAAAGTCTGAGAAATTTGCGATGTCATGGGACGCGTATCATTTTGTGACCATCTACTATTTTAGTGAGGATCAGGGCAAATTTGGGCAAATTTATGGCGGTACAGCGAAGGAAGTCAACAAAACGCTTACTCAGAATCTTGAGTTGCGCCATCTATGTCAAAAAAAATGGGGGATAGATGGCTCAACTCCCTTTAAAACAGGTCAGTTGAGCCATCTATGTCCCTAAAAACGACATATTTTGTGCAATCTTCTGCGCTGGTTTCTCCCCATATTTTTTTCGCAACATCGAATCAAGCTGCTTTTTTGGGATATAGATGGCTCAAGTCCCACTCATTCGCCAAAATCAGGCTGCGAATGCCCACATAGATGGCGCAACTCCCTCATATCACGCCCGGACATGACCCAAAAACAGTGGGGCTCTTTTGGGCGCTGATTTAGGGCGTAAAAGGACCCTTTTTTTTGGCCAAACATGGGCTCAACATAGGCTCAACATAGAAGGCTATGTTGGGCTACTTGGGGCTCTGCTGGCGGCTTTCAGGCCCAAAAAAAAACCCCGAGGTCGGGTTTTTTTTGGGTCGGTTTTGGGCTTATGTTGGGCCATTTGGAGGTTATGTTGGGCCTCTGTTGGGCCATTTGAGGGCTATGTTGGGCCTTTGTTGGGTCATTTGGGGTTCTGCTGGCGGCTTTCGGGCCGAAAAAAATACCCCCAACCGAAAATTTTTCGGTTGGGGGTAATTTTGGGTCGGTTTTGGGCTTATGTTGGGCCATTTGGAGGCTATGTTGGGCCTCTGTTGGGCCATTTTAGGGCTATGTTCGGCTGTTGGCGGCTTTCGGGCCTAAAATTTCAACCCCAACGGAAGCATGGCTCCGTTGAGGTTGAATTTTGGATCGGTTTCGGGCTCAAAATAGGCTCAAAACGAGTTGCGCCATCTACCTTCTCATTTTAAAGTAGGAACTCGTTTTATGTTCCAGCTAAAATAGCGCCGTTTTCTTTCTCACCGCGCGGTGGTGCCATCTTATGGGTATTTTGGTTTTGGAGTTGCGCCATCTACTTTTAGGGGGGTATACTAGTTTTGTTTTAGCGCGATTTCCAGATTAAATGATCATCGCGCCCTTTAGTGTTTCTATTCAGCTGGTTCTTTCTTCATTGTGACTAATACGCATTCATAGACATATGTCATGAGATTTTACATGTATATGTATACACATGCAAACAATATATGCTTTCTTGTCCTTGTCATCGCATACTTTATCTACTCCACATAGTAGATGTATATAATATTATCTAAAAATAAATATATACCTATATATAAATATGTTGTGTTTGTTTCAACGGACCGAAAAGAATAAATTCCAATTATTCTTTATATTAAGAGATGCTGCAAATGATAATATAACAAGGACACGCCGGCGGTTTTCCCACAACGACTAAATAGAATAGTAAAAATAATTAGATACATGAACGTAATGCATATACAGTGTACAGAATAGGTGCCTATAGCTGCCCCCAATTGTTTTTTTTTCGAGCGGTCGAGCCCACATTCCCTGGCAACAAGTGAGGATGAAGCAATACATGTCGGACGACGACTACATGCCCGAAGTTATTCTGCATTTGCCTCAAGGGGCTGTGCGCGACATTATGGAGCTCGTTCCCACAGGCCCCTCGACCAACTTAATTTTTCTGGTTTTGGGGACTCTGGGGTGGAAGTTCTTGACTGCAAAGCCCATCAGTGGACCGGTGCGTGTTGTTTGTCGTCGAATGCCGCACATTCTCAATTTTAAGTGTGCGTTCTTGATCGCGCTTGCCGTTGAAACTAAGTCCCGAATCCCGATCGAGCGCAACGTCCGGATGACAAGTCAGCCCAGCCGGACAAGTTGAAACAATATGCTGGGAAGATGCGTCGCCTGACTTTCTTTCAACACGTTTTTAGATTTACCCGATTCATGAGATGACTGTGCAAATGTTGTTTTTAATTTCGCTGATTTTCCTACACGGGCAGATGTGTCCGACAGGTGGATACCCATATTTCCTGAACAGAGCAGCAGATTATTTGATCCGCATGGCAGATGGTGCTTTACCGCGGGAGCCTTTCATGCAGATTGGCAAGTTTCTTGGATTGAAGCTGGCATGGCAGGCTGACAACCTTTTTTTTAAGGCAGCTTTTCCTTGGGCCACTTTCACAGTCTATGCTAGGTTCTTCTATCCGGGCCCTGCAGTTGGACGCGGCATCGGGCTACCTCAGCAGGGCCGAGACTTCGCCCCTGTAGCTTGAAACATCTTGAGACATACTTTAATAGTTCAGGGTCGCATGTCATACCCTTTGTAACCCGATGATGTGGTGTAAGCATTTCTTTCGTGAATGAGCCTTACATATCTTTCCTTTACCTGACATTGTACAGCGTATTCTCTGAGTTTGTCGTTGCCTTCTTTTGTCATGAATTCCATGCGCAAGGCACCCAACCGGATGAGATTGGACGGAGAGAGGCTTCCGGCAAGGCAACTGTACGACTTTAGGATGAAGTATGCATCCCGTCAGAAGTATTGCCTGGCAGCCAACTTGTGGTCCCAGGGACTGATGCAATGGGATGCAGCCCTGGATGTTGCTGAGAAAGCTTTCCAAGATGTGCCAGTCGAAGCTTGATCATCGAATGGGTTGTAAATTTCAATTAGAACGTTTGCGCGTTGTGATTTCATGCAGCCAGGACAGTGCTGCCTGTGAAAAGTATGAGTCTGAATCAGAAGCCATTCAGCGCAAAACTTGCAGAAACTAAGGCGTCTTTTTTTGTCACTGGATCCCATTGGGATCCATCTCGAAAACTGCCAGTTTCAAGTCTTTTTTGGGACAGCTCCTCATAACAAGAGTTTGAAGTTATAGGAAGCACCCAACAGAGGCAAGTTTCTGATGGATCCCATTGGCAACCATCATGAACCAGTGTGCTTTCGACAAGGCCGTATTTATGATTATTTCTTCCAAAACAAACCCATCCATGAGCTAAAACGCCCATGATGTTGAAGTCAAACCCTACACTCCAAAATTTGTGGATTTTATGGTGCCAAAGTGCTGTCTGTATGGGCTTACTCTTTGGAATGGGATGAGATGTCCAAGAAATTTTGTGATGGATCCCAGTGGGATCCATCACAAAACATCTTGGTAAATGTAATGTCTGGTAACCCTAAACCCTAAACTCTATGACATTTCTATTGACGCAGTACCGCCTTATATCGACAGATTTTTTTGGGATGAGATGTCCAAGAAATTTTGTGATGGATCCCAGTGGGATCCATCACAAAACATCTTGGTAAATGTAATATCTGGTAACCCTAAACCCTAAACTCTATGGCATTTCTATTGACGCAGTACCACCTTATATTGACAGATTTTTTTTGGGATGAGATGTCCAAGAAATTTTGTGATGGATCCCAGTGGGATCCATCACAAAACATCTTGGAAATTGTAATGTCTGGCAACCCTAAACCCTAAACTCTATGACATTTCTATTGACGCAGTACCGCCTTATATTGACAGATTTTTTTGGGATGAGTTGTCCAAGAAAATTTGTGATGGATCCCAGTGGGATCCATCACAAAACATCTTGGCAAATGTAATATCTGGTAACCCTAAACCCTAAACTCTATGACATTTCTATTGACGCAGTACCGCCTTATATTGACAGATTTTTTTTTGGAATGAGATGTCCAAGAAATTTTGTGATGGATCCCAGTGAGATCCATCACAAAACATCTTGGCAAATGTAATATCTGGTAACCCTAAACCCTAAACTCTATGGCATTTCTATTGACGCAGTACCGCCTTATATCGACAGATTTTTTTGGGAATGAGATGTCCAAGAAAATTTGTGATGGATCCCAGTGGGATCCATCACAAAACATCTTGGTAAATATAATGTCTGGTAACCCTAAACCCTAAACTCTATGGCATTTCTATTGACGCAGTACAGCCTTATATCGACAGATTTTTTTTTGGGATGAGATGTCCAAGAAATTTTGTGATGGATCCCAGTGGGATCCATCACAAAACATCTTGGCAAATGTAATATCTGGTAACCCTAAACCCTAAACTCTATGACATTTCTATTGACGCAGTACCACCTTATATTGACAGATTTTTTTGGGGATGAGATGTCCAAGAAATTTTGTGATGGATCCCAGTGGGATCCACCACAAAACATCTTGGCAAATGTAATATCTGGTAACCCTAAACCCTAAACTCTATGACATTTCTATTGACGCAGTACCGCCTTATATCGACAGATTTTTTTGGGATGAGATGTCCAAGAAATTTTGTGATGGATCCCAGTGGGATCCATCACAAAACATCTTGGAAAATGTAATGTCTGGCAACCCTAAACCCTAAACTCTATGACATTTCTATTGACGCAGTACCGCCTTATATCGACAGATTTTTTTTGGGATGAGATGTCCAAGAAATTTTGTGATGGATCCCAGTGGGATCCATCACAAAACATCTTGGAAAATGTCATATCTGGTAACCCTAAACCCTAAACTCTATGACATTTCTATTGACGCAGTACCGCCTTAAATTGACAGATTTTTTTTGGGGATGAGATGTCCAAGAAATTTTGTGATGGATCCCGGTGGGATCCATCACAAAACATCTTGGTAAATGTAATATCTGGTAACCCTAAACCCTAAACTCTATGGCATTTCTATTGACGCAGTACCACCTTATATTGACAGATTTTTTTTGGGATGAGATGTCCAAGAAATTTTGTGATGGATCCCAGTGGGATCCATCACAAAACATCTTGGAAATTGTAATGTCTGGCAACCCTAAACCCTAATCTCTATGACATTTCTATTGACGCAGTACCGCCTTATATCTATCTATCCATCTATCCATCTATCCATCTATCCATCTATCTATCTATCTATCGATCTATCTATCTATCTATCTATGTATGTATGTATGTATGTATCTATGTATCTATGTATCTATGTATCTATGTATCTATCTATAACTATCTATCTAACTATCTATCTATAATCTATCCATCCACCTGTTAATAGTCTATCTATCTTTGAGTTCATTTTCTTTCTATCTATCTGTTGATCTATCTACATATCTATCATCTATCCTTGTAAATATCAGCTGTCTATTGATCTACCTAACTATTTTGATTTATCTGTCTACTGATCTATTCAGTTGCAATATCTGTTTCAACCACTTGCTGCAACCCCAGCCCTCAAAGATATCTTCCAGTAAGCAGGTCACATATTAAAGGCAGCTGCGTGGAGAGCAAGTTTTTTTGGATCAAGGTGAAGGGCAGATAATGGCCCCAAAAAAACGCAGCTCTTCCGGTGGCGGGGGCACGCCAGCTTCCAAGAAAGGTCGAACCCTGGATGATTACTACGTGACTTCGCCAGATGGGAAGCCTATGCTGGAAGATGTCCAAGCGGCAATCAAGCTTATGAACACCTGGATGTATTCGCCCTAGCTTCATGTGATTTGCAGGTGTAGTTCATACCACCAGCTAAGTAACCATGGTTTGCAAGTGATTCCATCAAGTGAGGCAAGACAAATGCAAGGAGCATGAACACATCGTGCAGTACTTTGACACCACGTTTGGCATGGAGGTTCTCCCTTATATTTGAACTGAAGTGCTTCATTGGCTGACAAACATCGCTTGTTTCTAGCCTTGCCAGGAAAAGCTGAAGGAGTTCTTGGCATGGATGGACACTACTTTCCCGCCAGTCCCTGGTGTGTGGGAGGCTAATTGTTTCTTGAGGAAATCTGACGTCAGGATTTTGTGTTTTGTTTTTTGGCACACCGTTTTGCTGAGGTCGTACGTAACGACCGCAGACCTGCAGGCCGCTGGAGAGGGCACTTGCCTTCGTCCATGGCACCTGTCATGGAAGCCGGATGCTGGTTTCCGTGGATATGCTGAGCCAGCCAAGCACTCAGAAGCTGCTAATTTTGGCTTATTTATTTCTGTGTGAGCAGCAGAGCCCGCCCCGACAAGGACACGCTCCAGATGTTGATTAACCTAATTCTGGGCAATTCGTTTGGCCCTCAGGTATCATTTTTTTGTCAAATCAAACCCGAGCGTTTTGACCAATTCCCTTCGCTGTGCGGCTTCCTTCCATCACTTCTTCTATCGCAATTAGTTTCCTTGAATTTCAGCTTGTTTTGTGATATTTTTTATTGGGGGATGTTGGAGCTTACCAAAGCGATGGAAAATTGCGGGTTTGACTTGAACATGTTTTACCTTTTGACTGCGCTGCTTGGTTTGGCCCAGGTTTCAGACTGACAGCAACCTGGGCGGGACAGAAAAACTGACCGTGTGTTTGCCGGTCAGCGGAATGATGAGAAGCAGGCCGCTGATCAAAGCCCAGGAGATCTGTGAGAAAGAGGACGCTGACCTTATGGTCATGCCCATGAACATACTCTTCGTGAAAGGATGGACCAGGTCCTTGGCCGCTTTGTCCATAATGGCTGCTTGCTTCGAGAATGACGAGCTACTGAAGGCATGGCAGTGGCAGTCTCGTCAGGTTCTGTGTCATGGCATTTTTGGCAGCTCAGTTAAGACTTCATGTTTTTTGCAGTTGCTACGCGATGAAGTCAGAGAGTCTGGCCCTGAGAGATTGCCTTTCTTGGGTCCAAAGTACTTGACCCACAGGACTTCATCTTGACTGTGCAAGGTCGTTTGCGGTCATTCATGGAGCGATTCAGCACTGTGATCCTGGGGACAAAGATGGCTTGTGCAGACTTGTCGCAGAAAACAGAGGCAGGAAGTGGGCCAAGGTTCCTGTGCCTCCATTCTTTGTTCCCTGTTTGTTTTTTGTGCCCGGAAGGCATGACAATGAAGGACGCTGCCTTGAGGAAGCGTCCAAACTGTTTCAACCTCTTGCATCAACTGCAGCTGATGAAATCTGGACAAGATGACTTCGAAGAGGACAGCCTCAGAATTAGCTTGCCTGATTGTTGATCACTTTCCTGGTGCTTGTTTGTACTCTTTATGATGCTGACTTGTCGTCAGACGTAGACTTTTCTTGTTTGGTGACTCTTCGCAGGCTTGGAATTCAGTGTCGGAATTCCAGCAAGCCTATGCCATTGGGAAGGCCGAGGCTGCAGCTGCAATGAACTTGCTCAAAGAAGTGGATGTTCGAATTTCTGCCAAGTTGATGCAGCTTGTGAAGTTTCTTGTCACTGGTTTGGTCCATCGAATCTCCTACATTTCACTGGCTACTGGTTGATAGCAGCTTGCCGGCGACTTAGGCGATATAGCCAGGCCAAGTTCATTCAACATGAAGGGATCCAGGCCGGGTTCCTGAACAGAAGTTACAACGGTGCCGTGGGCCCGCTTGCTGCATGGGAGCCTGTGATGTTGAACGAGTACCCCGTTGTAGAACTGCTGGTTGCGCGCATGGAGTCAGATTTTTCCAACTTGACACCCAAGCTGCGCAAACCTTTCTCTGGCAAAGACATTGACGCTAAGTGCTAAGCTAGGAAAATCAGTGCAATTCCCTACAGTTTAATGCGATTTCACAAGGAACCTGCTGAAGATTTCGCTTGTTCTGAGTCGTCATTTTTTCAAGCTTATAAAAAAACAGTTACAGAAGATATAGTAGCCCAGCGGTCCAGCACCGCTCAACTCAGGAAACTTTGCAGAGGATTTGTTCAGCCTTCTTGGCTGCCGTGGATAGCTTCAGATCCAATGTCCCTGAGGATTTTGCCACAGCAGAGATTCCAGGTTTGATGAAGTCGCTGCCCGCCTTCTATTTTGATACGGCTCGATATGTGATTATATACTATATATTGTAGAAGAAATGGACTCTGTAGAAGGGAGGAAATTGCCGTGGCCTTGTCAGGTTTATGGCCCGGCACATGGACTCTGACCTGCAGCACCTGATTGAGCACTCTGCTCCGCCATTGCCGTTGGCCAACTTGTCTACTTTCCGCAGCTTGCTTTTCAAGTACAAGAGAAAGGCTTGGTTGTGGGTTGCGAAGAGTGTCGTGCTATTTTTAGAGGTATGATTTTCATATACATCTTTCGGCACTGAGCATGGTAATTTTTTGGGTACAGGTCCAAGAGAAATCCGAGAAGGAAGCGGAACAGTCTCTTGTCGACATTTCGTTAAGTTGACTTAAAGTCTGTGGGAAACCAGATTGAATTTAGCGTGCGCTGTGCAATGCTTCCAGATTATGCAACGAGGCTGGCTCAAGAGCTTCAGAGTGTGTCGGCGAAGCAAACTCTGAGCAAGATGCGCAACGATCTGGAGACCATGGATGAGTGGTGCATGCGTTATAAGGAGTACGGTAACAGGCAGGGAGGCCTCGACATCAAGTATGTCTCTGAAAGATATGCCAGAGGAATTGCCCAGGTCGCAGATTTCATGTCGTCTAAGCACAGACTGGTGAGCACAGACACTTTTGACCCATGCCAAGCAGAGATCCTCCAGCATTGCCATGCCCTGCAGTCTGGCAATCAGCCGTAACACGTTTGAAGTTAAAAGAACATTTTAGTTTTAGATGACGCCCGCATCCATTCAGACCAGCATTTCGCTGCCTAGTTGCTTGACCCCTTAAAACCACTCATCCCAAGGCTTGTGATCATGGTGATGGACACCACCTGTTGGCCGGGCAGATTTTTTGCGGCAAAGAATATCTTGTGCGTTTTTTTAGCTGCCTGTCACCGCAGATCCACAAAAAACATAGGGATAAAATAACCAAGCCTTTGAACAACTAGTTTGCTGTGGACAATGTCATCACCTGATAAACTAAGAAACGAGCAGCGTGGACGAAGCTATCGACGTTGCCAAAATGATGTGCAACGGCAACCCCAACTGCTGCTTGCTGGTTCTTTTGCCAACTTTGCACAGCAACGTCTCACAGATGGCTATTGTCAACAAGAAGAGACGCATTGAAGACAAACTGTTTTCGTGCCTGGTCTAGTTGTTGTTAACACTATTATGAGCGGTAGTGAAATCACTCAAGTGGTCATGTATTAACTTCGAGTGACCGTGTTCCTTTTCCCAGGTGCTTCCATAGCACGGAGGTCAGCATTTCCTTTTCAGATCCAGGGCATGCAGGTGACAAGCGCCCACGGAGCCAAAGCAGCGCCTTGGCCTTGACAATGAATCCGACTTACTTCCTTTGTTCATTCAATCCCCATCATCACTGAACTCTTCCCAGTGAGCTAGAGTATTGGGGGTGTTTTTTCTGCAGGTTACCTGTGTATTGGCAATGTGCACGGTCTGGCGGCATCAGCGTGGAGAAACTCCAAAGCCATGCTGGCAGTGATTGGTCCAATTGACAGAGCCAGAGTCTGCGACCTTCGGAACTTTGAGACTGACAAGCCACTTTCGCCAGGGGAAAGGGTATCTGGTATGAAATGGATTTCGGCGTACCCAATGTTTTACTCTTTTACGCGGGGCATGTATGAAGTTAAAGCCATGAGCCTAGGCAATGCAACGTGGGTGCAGTGGTACAGCCCAGATCTTGGATGCGTTGGTTGACGGCATGTCCGAGAACCAGTTTGAGAAAGTGTTGGTAGTGGACTTGCTGCCAAACAGGCTGCGTGCCAAACAGGTAGTGAATGTTTTTTGTTTTCCACCCCAAAAGTGGTGGGAATATCCGCTGGGAATGGAAGTGACTGACTGTTGTCCTGGTTGGCTCATGTCATGAGCGCACCGTGTAGGTTCAATGAGTGGAGTCAGAGCATTTGGGCGAAGCAGAAGGTCTTTTTGCAGGGCACTGGCCCAGTTGGTGGCTTCGATTGGCACTACTTGGGTTTCATTGTCCAAGACGATCATGATGACACTCGTGATGGAATCTTGGCCAAGCTGCCGAACACCATGACGGGGATGCTGATGCAGGAGAGGTTAAATAATAACAGTTTCAAGTCCTTGTTTCAACGTGAGGTTCCTTCATTGTAGTCGAATTTTATACTAATTAGATGGTAGGACTCCTCCAGGAGTGGTGGGATACGTGCACCGAAGCTGGGCCAAAGCAACGGGTTCGCGAGTCCTTTGGGGAAGCCAAGCCAACACTGCAGTTGCTTTGTTGGAAAGACCAGCAGACACGACTGGCGAGCCTTGTTTTTTTTGTGCCAGAAAGTTTTTGATTTTTAGAAAGGGCCATGCCTCTGGGGGAGGTTGCGTTCAAAAGTCTCTACTTTATGTCAAGCATTGTTGCCAGACTTATTTGCAAGGATTCCGGATGCATTGGATGAGAACTTCCGCGACCCATCCAACCCAGATGCTCAGACACAGCTCAGCCAGATGCACGCTGAGTTGAAAGCTTGGAACCAGAAGTGGCATCCTGTCTTGAAGGGCGGTGCTGGCAACAACAGCAATGCCGCTGCCACCTCCACTCAGGCGAGCACCAACGGCCAGCAACCTGCCCGCGTGCTTTGTCAGCCTGTCTATTCACCAGAAGAAGAGCCATTGAACGTTGCCAAGCAGTACAACTTCCCAGAAGATTGCGTTATTCCCTTTGAGCAGCTTACGGAGTTACTAAGCTCTTAGCTTGGGCTGTTTTTTAAAGGTTAAGTTCAATGTCTGAATCGTTTGAAGCTCGTAGCCGCCAGCATCTCAGGCTGCTGGCAACTGGAGGCTGCGTGGGAAAGCCAGAGATCAAGGTCATGATTGGAAAGAACTTTGAACTGTACATCACCAACACCACTGACCGCGACATTGCAGTGGGTCCTTGCGAGATCTTTGGCTTCAACGTGGGTGCATTTGTGGAACGCATCACTTCCGAAGCCCGTTCAGCACGAGACGGTATTCTGTGGAAAGTGATGAGCGATGCTGAGATCTTGATCACGGAGTCTGAGGGTGGCAAGAAACCCATGCCACTGTCCCATTTGATTTGTGCGCAGGCGCAGGAGAATGGCATCGTTGACATGGATGTCCAAGAATACAACTTGACTCAGGTTTGCCAGGCCGCCTCGGTTTGATTCAATCTTTTTTTAAAGGCACAAGCGCGCTTTGTGGTTGATTCCTTGTCAATCAATACTGTGCGTCAAGAAATAAGACTGTCTGATTCGAGGTGTTGTGCAAATGTCTTTCAACCAGCTATCAGGATGATGGCGAGCCACTCCCTTTTCGCTACAAGATCAACCCGAAGACGAAATCTTTGCTCATGGTTCCCAAGAAGTTGGATGACAACATTGACACCAGTGCGGTGAGGGCCACTATGTTGGGAGCTTTCTTCAAGGATTCTTTCCATCTTGTCCCCAGGACTGATGTGGGGCGCATTTGCTGGGAGGTTTCTTGGAGCATTTTTTGGAGAAATATTTTTTTCATTATTCATGATCGCTTGAACTTGGTAACAGCTGGCTAGTCAGAAACTTTGGTCCTTTTGGGCTTCCACTGTTCTTGGATTAAGGTGACCGTTGAAACTTCTGTCCCAGCTTTGGTCATTCCCAAGAAGCCTAAGTTCTGGCTCGTTTGCTCGACAGTCCTGCGTGCCAAGTGTGCTCATCACATTCGCCAGTGAAGGGCCTTTTTGCGGTGCAGCGAGTTGGTTGGGATATGATCTTGCCATAAAATTTGCCAGATGCCATTTGGGCCGTCTAGATTTAGAAGGCAAGTGTGTCAGGACATGCACATTTGTTTGATGCCTAGTTGTGATCTTGTCCCTGCTCGCTCCAAGACATGATGTCCGCGTGCTGAAGCGCGCACAGACGCGTCTTCCGGAAGCTGACATGGCGCCTAGGTCCTAGGTAGCATGCAAAATCGAAGCTGATTGTTATCATCTGCGATCTTTTCCATCGCGCCATGATTTCCCCAGTCCTATAGCTCTTGGCCATCATGATCTCAGTTCTATTGCTGTCAGGATTTTTCATCAAGTATTAGCCAGATTCTTCCCGAGGAAATCTTTTAAGTGAGCCTTAGTTTTAGTCGGTGCCACAGTGCCACTGGCTGCACTAGCTGCATGGTGGTTCGAGACATCACAGAGCTGTCAGATGATGACGTGCAGCCGCCGGCACCTTCGCAGGCTTCTTCAAAGAATGCACCTGGTCCTGTGACCCCAGAAAAAAAGAAGAAAGTAGCCACTCCTAAGGAACCTACTAGCAAGAAAGCAAAAGTAGCCAAAGCAAAGGTGACCAAGCCAGATGATGATGCCGCAGACGTGTCTGATCAGAATGATCATGATCCTGAAGAACATGCTCAGGACGAGGAGGATGAACTTGCCGAGGATTTCAGTGACCGGCCACCACCCAGCCTGCCAACTGCCAAGGCGAAGAGTAAGGGCACAGCAAAAGGCAAGGCCAAGGCGAAAGCTAAGGCCAAAGCAGTTTTGAAGCGACCCTCCGCCTCCAGTGCTGTGATGAAGCGGCCAGCTTCTTCTCAAGGTGATGGGAACTTGCGCTACTGGCCAGATGGACGAATCCGGGTGCAGAAAGGGCTTTACAAGAATGGAGTCCATGGCTTGAAGATGGGTGGCCATCAGGTATGCTTGGCAACGCAGCAGCATTAATTGAGTTTTACCCGGAATGATATTTTCCGAAGGGTTTGCATTTTTCCCGAACATTTTTGGTCATTGTTTCACCTGAGACATAATTTTTGCCTCAGGTGCACCCACTGGATGGCGTGGCCGCTTCGCAGCTTTGTGAAATTGCGGTCGCTTGCCATTGCTTTTTCCCCACCTGCCAGGTGAGGGTTGTTAGATTTTTTCAGAGATGTTCTCCTCATCCTCCTCGTCCTCCTCCTCTTCCGCCTCCTCCTCTTCCTCCTCCTCCAGTTTCTCCTCAACCATGTCTGCATCAACTTCCACGTCCACTTCCGCCTTGCCAACTTGTCGCCAATCTCTTAGCCAACTTCCGTGCGCAGTGGGCACTGCTGGACCTCAACTGCCGGCTTTTGCCTTGCCAACTCGTCGCCAATCTCTTCGCCAACTTCCGCGCGCAGTGGGCACTGCTGGACCTCAACTGCCGGCTTTGGCCTTGCCAACTCGTCGCCAATCTCTTCGCCAACTTCCGCGCGCAGTGGGCACCGCTGGGCCTCAACTGCCGGCTTCCGATCTGAGTGGGCACGGCTGGACCTCAACCGCAAGGGTCTGAGCGCAGTGGGCACCGCTGGACCTCAGTGGGCACCGCTGGGCCCCAACGGCCAGATAGAATGCCAGAAGATCAACGGCCAGATAGAATGCCAGAAGATATGCCAGATAGAATGTCAGATAGAATGCCAGAAGATACGCCAGATAAAATGCCAGAAGGTATGCCAGATAGAATGTCAGATAGAATGCGAGAAGGTATGCCAGATAAAGTGCCAGAATGTTTGCCAAATAGAAGCCAGAAGATTTACCAGATAGAATGCCAGATAGAATGTCAGAAGATATGCCAGAAGATATGCCAGATACAGTGCCAGAACATATGCCAGAAGATATGCCAGGTAGAATGCCAGAAGATATGCCAGATCGAATGCCAGAAAATATGTCAGATAGAATGCCAGAAAATTTGCCAGTAACAAAATGTATAAATGTCATGGTGGGGATCACACGAAGTAAAGTAATTTGCAAGATTTTCCACAGCCAAAATTGACGCCTGTTAAACGATTTTTCGATTTTGATGACTTGCAGTGAGTTGGGACCTGTGGAAGAACTGAGGAAGCGGCCCGACAGGAGCTTGAAAAAGGTGTTCACCCCGGCATTGTCAATACGATGATCGCTTCTTGGCTTTGCCGTGAATTTTTCTACTTCCAAATCACGGGGTCTCCTAGTTTCTTGAGTTCGAAGTGATTCAAGCTTGAAACATATTGCCGTGTCAATGGCACACCAAGGAATCCATGAGGACGTCTGCCCAGCTCACCAATAAGGGCAAAGAGAGTGGAACCGAACCGGGCAAAGAAGTTGGAACCGCTCAAGGTGATGCTGCCATGGATGAGGTGGCAGATGACGAGGAAGGAGAAGAGGAAGAGATCGAACCCAACAGTGCAAACCTAGCTTCTGACGTGGAAGAGGCGAATGCACAGGATGTGGACTAGTCCGAAACTTGCTTGGACAGATGTTGCCTCAACCCGTTCGGGGATTTCACGCGACTGACTGAGCATCTGGTGAAAATCGCGGTGAAAAATGATATTTGCTTCTGTCTGACGTGTTGCCTATCCCTTTTTTTTTGCAGAATGAGCTCCAGCAAAAGCCCGAAGAATTCACCACTATGTTTTTGCACAAGGTTGTATCCACTGACCGACATTACCAATCAATTTTTTATGGGCCATAGATAAACTTGAACAAGCAAATTCTGACATTACGGGCTTTAAACCACCCAGCGGTTTCATCCGCTCACCAAGAGTCCTTTCACCCAATGATACCATCCCAGCTTCGTAAGAAACAATTAGTATAATAGGTAAAACGTCGAGTTTGTTTTGGAGATGGGATGCCAAATCCTCCCAGCGGATTTCTCCGCTCACCAAGGGCCCTTTCAATTTTTTAGGCACCGCACCAAAAGGGTATTAATTATTTCAACGAGTCGTGAAACAACTGTTTTTTTGTCTCAAGTCAATGGGGCGTGCACCAAATGCTCCAATCGGATTCTTTCTGTTTGAAGCACGACACCGGCATGATGCTATTAATTGTAATTGTCAAGGCTGTAAAGAACCAGAGAAGCTTTTGATCCTACATCAATAGGGTTCCAAATCCTCCCAGCGGACACAAGTATCCGCTTCACCAAAAAAAATCAACTTTTGGGAAAACGCAACAGACCAGATATTGTTTAGCGTTCCGTGTGCACACGCGTATTTATATATATGGTGTGTATATATATATATTATGTATCTATATATATGTATATAATACATATATATATATGTACCATATAACATGAATTGAATGTGTGTATTGTGTATACATATAGGTGCTTTTACCTTGAATGGTTCATCCCTTAAACCCTTAGCCTTGAATCCCTAAACCTTGAACCCTAAAACCTTATGTATATAATTAGATAGATAGATAGATGAATAGATAGATAGATAGGTAGGCAGATAGATCGATGGATCCTTAGATAGATAGATAGACAGATAGATAAAACCAACGGACCCTAAACCCTAAACCCTAAACCCCAAAGCCTCACACAATCCTTGACCCTTGAGAAACCCTAAACCCTTGCAACCCTAAAACACCAATAAGTTTAAAAAAACATAAACGCTATACCATTGAACCCGGCCCTGGACATAAAGCCTCAACCCTTGCAACCCCAAACCCTTGCAACTCAAAAACGCCTACAGATTTTACTGTAAATTAAACACATCCCTGAACTAAGCCTAAGCGCAAACTTCCTTAAACATGTGCAACCCTAAACCCTTTCAACCGCCTTAATGTTATAATTGCTTTCAATCTTAATTATTGAGCATTGCACCGTGATATTACGGAGCCTCGCTCAATGTTATCTTATCATGGAAATCAGTGCCGCTGGAGCTGTCAGCCACTGCAAAAAGCAGTGCCCCCTATTACCTTGAGTAGCCCCCATTAAGGGGAACAAGCCTTATTTTGCAAACAGCATCATTCAATGCCTCTGCGAGCGTCAGGTATAAGCAGGTTGCCGTAGTCTGGACCAGCGTCCTTCTTCCGCGCATGAATCTGGTCACTCCGATGCCATTGAAAAGAAAGACAAAAGTCACCACACATTGTTTCAACTTTTGTCGTCGATGATTTTGCAAACAGCATCATTCAATACCTCTGCGAGCGTCAGGTAAGAAGGTTGCAATATTCTGCATGATGGGAGCACAAAACGATTCTGCATATTCCATGTCAACAAACGAAGCGGCATGCAAACCTTTAAAGCCTAGAAAACTTTTTTCTCCAGGACCATGGAATGCATTTCTGAAAGTACGCCGCTAAAATGCGATTCAACTAACGTTACCACGTCCAATACTGCACTGCAATCAGCAGTCAGGCTGGCCAACCATCGATGATCCCAATTGGCAAATCGGACAGCATGAGTTTTACAGACATTTTTATAGGAAGGTCCATGTTTGGGCTCACCATTCGTCAAAGGTGGAACTTGCGCGTCATCCATGTAAAAGGTTTGAAAGGCTTCCCAAGACGAGGCCATAATCCACCAACAAGCTTGAAACCGCACTGGTTCCACAAAAGTATGTTTGGTTCTCTTCTGCCGGTAGCTCTGACCAGCCATTTCCCAAGCTTGCCGTGGCACTGTCTTTGGGCGTGGTTCAGCCGGAGCCGGGGTGCCATCAGAATGTTGAAATCGTTGAAGATAATTCAACCGCGTTGAAACTTGGATAGGTAAAGTCACCTTCAGGCCACTACCAAGAGCAGACCGAATCAGATCTGGAGTCAGTCGTGGCATCTTTTCTACAACCATGGACTGAATGAAGTGATGCGTTTCCTCCCTTCTCACTTCCCAAGTTTTCAATGCCCATAAGATATGAGGTCGTTCCTGCCAAGGATTCAACGTAGGTCGCGCTTGCAATAATAATCGAATTCCTTCAGAGGCAGTCATATGATGCTGAAATACCAGCCACACGACCAAGGCAGCGCTGCTGCGATTGTCTCCGGCAAAGCACTGGCAGTCCGGCAGGAACGTCCTCTTTGCAATTTCTCCGAGACCTGCAGATGAGGATGCACATGCTGCGCCATGCGGAGAAATATGCATTCGCCATCCTTTGGCACAAGCCACCTTCACCTGGCGCTGTTGTTTTCGGATCATCGAGTTCCATTGCAAAGTGGTCGATGCACAGACCACGAAGAAAATGCTCCCAGCCTTCCTGAGGACGGTCAACAATGTTGCGGAGTGCAGGCGGACCAAAGCTCACCACGATGTGGATGCGATCTTCTTGTGTGAGGCAGCGCAACGCTGCCGAGCTTCCGAAGTGAAGTATTTCCGGGGAGCCACCACCGATGTCGTGCACGCAGACCATGTCTTTGCGATCTTCGCGAACGTCTGTCGCATCTCGTTCCAGTGTGGCATCTTGTGCCCAGCTGCGATGGATGCGTATCTGCATCTGGACACACCAGTGCCGCATCTTGCGGTTATATGGCTCCATGGCATTGAGATGTAGGATCAAAATGAACAAGACAAGCTGCGGATATCAAGTCTGAAACTCAGATATGGACAAAATCGGCCGGGACAAACAAGACAAGCTCCAGGACAACAGAAAATCGCTGCTCCGGTCGTTTCTTTCCACGTTGGGCCAAAAAAAACAGAGCAGCGAGAGATGATCCGATAACCACATCTTTGACTGCGCTAGGCTTCACAAAACGTGTGCAAATAACAAAAATCGAACTTGAAATCGAACTTGACTGACTATGTCATTGATTCGGTATGCCGGAGCAACCCAAGCAGCAAACATCATCGGATGATGAGGTGATAAGTTGCGCAATGCAAGAACTTGACCATCAGTGCCACGCCTACCACGCCAAACGACGGTAGATGTGAGTTTGTGCCACGCCTGCCACGCGAAACGAACGTCGATGTGACATTGTGCCGCGCCTGCCACGCAAAGTGCCGCGGCGTCACGGGCGACCAAATCAGACCAAGCACGCCACCCAGTGCCATCAGTGCCACGCCTACCACGCCAAACGATGGTAGATGTGAGTTTGTGCCACGCCTGCTTCGAAAAACGATGGTAGATGTGAGTTTGTGCCACGCCTGCCACGCAAGGTGCCGCGGCGTCACGGGCGACCAAATCAGACCAAGCGCCACCCAGTGCCATGAGTGTCACGCCTGCCACGCAAAACGATGGTAGATGTGAGTTTGTGCCACGCCTAGCGCGCCACCCAGTGCCATCAGTGCCACGCCTGCCACGCAACGCCTGCCACGCAAAACGATAGTAGATGTGAGTTTGTGCCACGACTGCCACGCAAAACGACGGTAGATGTGAGTTTGTGCCACACCTGCCACGCAAAGTGACGCAGATGTGAGTTTGTGCTACGCCTGCCATGCAAAACGACTGTAGATGTGAGTTTGTGCCACGCCTGCCACGCAAAGTGCCGCGGCGTCATGGGCGACCAAATCAGACCAAGCGCGCCACCCACTGCCATCAGTGCCACGCCTGTCACGCAAAACGATGGTAGATGTGAGTTTGTGCCGCGCCTGCCACGCAAAACGACGGTAGATGTGATTTGTGAAAGATGGTGTGTGACAAAGTTGTATGTGAAAGATGGTATGTGACAAAGGTGGGTGTGAAAGATGGTGTGTGACAAAGTTGTATGGGAAAGATGGTGGTTGACAAAGTTGTGTGTGAAAGATGGTGTGTGACAAAGTTGTATGTGAAAGATGGTGTGTGACAAAGTTGTGTGTGAAAGATGGTGTGTGACAAAGTTGTGTGTGAAAGATAGTGTGTGACAAAGTTGTATGTGAAAGATGGTGTGTGACAAAGTTGTATGTGAAAGATGGTGTGTGACAAAGTTGTGTGGGAAAGATGGTGTGTGATAAAGTTGTGTGTGAAAGATGGTGTGTGACAAAGTTGTCTGTGAAAGATAGTGTGTGACAAAGTTGTATGTGAAAGGCGACCAAATCAGACCAAGCGCGCTACCCACTGCCATCAGTGGCACGCTTGCCACGCAAAACGATGGTAGATGTGAGTTTGTGCCACGCCTGCCACGCAAAACGATGGTAGATGTGAGTTTGTGCCATGCCTGCCACGCAAAGTGCCCGCGGCGTCACGGGCGACCAAATCAGACCAAGCGCGCCACCCAGTGCCATCAGTGCCACGCCTGCCACGCAAAACGATGGTAGATGTGAGTTTGTGCCACGCCTGCCACGCAAAGTGCCGCGGCGTCACGGGCGACCAAATCAGACCAAGCGCGCCACCCAGTGCCATCAGTACCACGCCTGCCACGCAAAACGAACGTGGATGTTAGATTGCCACGCCTGCCACGCAAAACGATAGTAGATGTGAGTTTGTGCCACGCCTGCCACGCAAAGTGCCGCGGCGTCACGGGCGACCAAAGCAGACCAAGCGCGCCACCCAGTGCCATCAGTGCCACGTCTGCCACGCAAAACGATGGTAGATGTGAGTTTGTGCCACGACTGCCACGCAAAACGACGGTAGATGTGAGTTTGTGCCACACCTGCCACGCAAAGTGCCGCAGATGTGAGCTTGTGCCACGCCTGCCACGCAAAACGACTGTAGATGTGAGTTTGTGCCACGCCTGCCACGCAAAGTGCCGCAGATGTGAATTTGTGCCACGCCTGCCACGCAAAACGACGGTAGATGTGATATGTGAAAGATGGTGTGTGACAAAGTTGTATGTGAAAGATGGTGTGTGACAAAGGTGGGTGTGAAAGATGGTGTGTGACAAAGTTGTATGGGAAAGATGGTGGTTGACAAAGTTGTGTGTGAAAGATGGTATGTGACAAAGTTGTATGTGAAAGATGGTGTGTGACAAAGTTGTGTGTGAAAGATGGTGTGTGACAAAGTTGTGTGGGAAAGATAGTGTGTGACAAAGTTGTATGTGAAAGATGGTGTGTGACAAAGTTGTGTGGGAAAGATGGTGTGTGACAAAGTTGTGTGGGAAAGATGGTGTGTGACAAAGTTGTGTGTGAAAGATGGTGTGTGACAAAGTTGTGTGGGAAAGATGGTGTGTGACAAAGTTGTATGTGAAAGATGGTGTGTGACAAAGTTGTACGTGAAAGATGGTGTGTGACAAAGTTGTGTGTGAAAGATGGTGTGTGACAAAATTGTATGTGAAAGATGGTGTGTGACAAAGTTGTATGTCAAAGATGGGTTGACAAAGTTGTATGTGAAAGATGGAGGGCGGGAGGCGGGAGGTTGACAAAGAGAGGAGGCGGGAGGAGGCGGGGAGGAGGCGGGGCGGCGACCCGGGATACAGAATCAAAAAAAAGAACCCCACACAAAGTTGTGGGGAATAAAAGGAAATTGATCATTTCGGGGGACCTGTTTTTTTGGTTGAAATGTTCTAGTTTAGGAGCTTCAGACATCCAGGGTTGCTACTCCCCAAAGGGAATTACGTATATGATATATACCCTTATACATGGAAGAGACCCAATTCCTTGCAGAACTACATACATAGAATATAGGTCCCCAGTGAAAATATTCATCAATTTTTGAGGAACACCACCCAATTCCATTGGTTTTCAGTGCAAATATTTTTTTCATAGTTCTACGACACCGGTCGTGGGGGGTGCCCTTCGGTGAGCCTGAAAAATTCATTCTTTTAATGCAATATAAAAAGAAATGGATCATTTCCGGGGACCTGTCTTTTGGTTGAAACGTTCTAGTTTAGGAACTTCAGACATCCAGGGTTGCTACTCCCCAAAGGGAATTACGTATATGAATGTATATGATATATACCCTTATACATGGAAGAGACCCAATTCCTTGCAGAATTGCATGCATAGAATATAGGTCCCCAGTGAAAATATTCATCAATTTTTGAAGAACACCACCCAATTCCATTTGTTTTCATTGCAAAATAGTTTTTTTTCATAGCTCTACGACACCGGTCGTGGGGGGTACCCTTCGGTGAGCCTGAAAAACACATTCTTTTAATACAATATAAAAAGAAATTGATCATTTCGGGGGACCTGTTTTTTGGTTGAAACGTTCTAGTTTAGGAACTTCAGACATCCAGGGTTGCTACTCCCCAAAGGGAATTACGTATATGAATGTATATGATATATACCCTTATACATGGAAGAGACCAAATTCCTTGAAGAATTGCATGCATAGAGTAGTGGTCCCCAGTGAAACTATTCATCAATTTTTTGAAGAACACCACCCAATTCCATTTGTTTTCATTGCAAATAGTTTTTTTCATAGTTCTACGACACCGGTCGTGGGGGGTTCCCTTCGGTGAGCTTGAAAAATTCATTTTTTAATACAATATAAAAAGAAATTGATCATTTCGGGGGACCTGTTTTTTGTTGAAACGTTCTAGTTTAGGAGCTTCAGACATCCAGGGTTGCTACTCCCCAAAGGGAATTACGTATATGATATATACCCTTATACATGGAAGAGACCCAATTCCTTGCAGAACTACATACATAGAATATAGGTCCCCAGTGAAAATATTCATCAATTTTTGAGGAACACCACCCAATTCCATTGGTTTTCAGTGCAAATATTTTTTTCATAGTTCTACGACACCGGTCGTGGGGGGTGCCCTTCGGTGAGCCTGAAAAATTCATTCTTTTAATACAATATAAAAAGAAATGGATCATTTCCGGAGACCTGTTTTTTGGTTGAAACGTTCTAGTTTAGGAACTTCAGACATCCAGGGTTGCTACTCCCCAAAGGGAATTACGTATATGAATGTATATGATAATTATATACCCTTATACATGGAAGAGACCCAATTCCTTGAAGAATTGCATGCATAGAATATAGGTCCCCAGTGAAAATATTCATCAATATTTTGGAACACCACCCAATTCCATTGGTTTTCATTGCAAAATATTTTTTTTTTCATAGTTCACCCCGCGATTGCCGCAGCAAAACGTCTTGCAACACACTTTCCATGCTGAAATCGCAGTTGTCCCTTTGCGGAACTGGTTTGAATCACAGGCGGCTGCAGCAATCCATGCTTCTGTCAAAAACCTGAGAAAATTTATTTTCCTGGATCAAAACGGATAGCCGGAAGTATTCTATGTGTAGGTTTTTTTCCGATCCCGGAAGATGTTTTTATCCTATGTATATGTTTTTTTTTACCGATTCCGGGAGATGAGCTTTTTGATGCCGAAATTATCGATTCTGTATTCTATGTATCCCATCGGGAGTAAAAAAAATATATATATATATACCTATCTATCTACACGCGTTTTTGCACATATCTGTACAACTTGAAGGGGGAAGCATTCTAACTGCTGAAATGCTGGGAAGCATTCTAACAGCTGAAATGCTGGTAAAAGCAATTTCAAGGGGGAAGCGTTCTATTTGCGGAAAGGATGGTAGAAAACAATTTCAAGGGGGAAGCATTCTAACTGCTGAAATGCTTGTGTAAAAAGCAACTTGAAGGGGGAAGCATTCAAATTGCCGAAAGGCTGGTTTAA